AAATATCATATTTGACTGTAGATAAGTTTGAAATAGATAATAAATTTGAACCAGATTATAAGCTGCTTTCAACCATTAATCAACTTTGTGGTTACATTCATATGATTGCAAAAGGAATCAAAATACCTCCTGGTTGGTCTAATCAACCTGGTGGTAATAGCGGCAATATTAGGTATAATAATAGATAATAAACTTCCTCCCCTGCCGAAAATTGAAGGACCAGAATTTTCGGGAGAAGTACGACCATGGTAAACGTTTCATTCGCTTTTCAACAGTATGATTCACGATAATGCCTCTGACAGATTTGAATAAAATTCATTATTTAGTGGGAAGTTTACGAGGACCGGCCTCGGAAATTTCTGCGGGACTTTCTATCACCGGGGATAATTATAATATATTGTACATAGCTCTGACCGAAAAATATGGAAAAAACGGATGTTAGCGGACAGTTAATTACAACAAATTTTTGATTTCAAGCAAGAAATTTAGATGCATTTCTAGAAAGATTTGATGTAGCGGTCTCGGCACTGAAAAAATTGAATTCACCGGATTTAGCACATTTCATTTTGCTGTATCAGGCTTTGGCTAAGCTAGATCACAATTCTGTTAGGGTTTTTGAAATGAAACAATATAGTTCGAAAATTCATAAAAAATCAGGCAAAAGTTTTACATCGAGATAAAACAACATCGGTGTCGAATTATAGTAATCATAATAAACAAATAAAGACAATCAAATCTTTTGTGGTAAATCAACAAAAAAGGGATGGAATGACATGCGTTTTTTGTCAGAAAACAGGTCATTACATGGGTAGATGTGGTAAATTCAAATACTTGTCACCGGGACAAAGATATGAAGCTGTTAGAGACAATGACTGGTGCTAGAACTGTTTGTCAAATGACCACAGTGTAAAAAACTGTCCTAACGAGCGGTTGTGTATTGTGTGTTCTAAAAAACATCACATTTTGCTTCATTTGGGAAAAACAAACTCAGTTACTGGAGAATGGGGATGTGGCCTCAGGATCAAACAGTGAGAGGGTAACAGTTATTACTGATACATCAGCGGATTATGTGCATTTGTGTTCTGAACCTAATGCCGTATATTTAAAGGATGATTCAAACTATACAACTTTGCTTTCTTCTCTGGTGGTTTTCGTGGAAATAAGTTTAATGGCAAATGCTACAGCTAGATTTATTTTAGATTCGGTAAGTGAAGCCAATTTACTGACAATCGGGTGTTGTAAAAGGTTGGGCTTGAAGGTTTCGAAAAATTATTCTTTGGTATACGGTTTGGGAGGTTCGATTCAGAAAATGGTAAATTTTCGTTATGTGGACACCAGGCGATTTTGAAAAAATTTATGACTGTACTTACGTATTTTCATGCGTAGATTACGAATCCGAAAGAAAAAAGCGGCGCTCTCCCTTATTTAAAAAGTTGCGGCCCTTCAAAGTTCAGAAAAGGGCAACTTTTCAGCCTTCTTTTTCACCAAATAAACTATTTAAAAACACAAGCATTTATTCACTAGGTCACCTTTACACCTTATTCCTC